TGGTATAAATTTTGATATGGAGGATTTTGAAATCCTGAAAAATATTGCTAATAGCCTGTATGATATTCCTGAGCTTAGAAAACACTTCTAACTCTACCCTTGCTGGTATGGCATCTCTCATAAAAGTGTCTTGACGCTCTATTTTCATTTTTATTAAATTTAAAAGTTTGTCAACTTGTTCGGGTGTCACTCTCAGCACTGCTTTATATTCTCGGGGGTCTTCATGATAAAGCTCCTTGAAAATCGCACATGTTGCCCCTATAGATCGTCTTGCCATCCAATCTCTAATCCAAGCCTTTTTCTTCCTCTCCTTTTTTTGAAGTTTTTTGTAGGATTTTTCCAATTCTTCAGATAATATTATTGTCATAGACCTTATCACCGTTGTTTTAATCACAGCAAGTTGACGCGACAACTTGGAAGATACTGGGCAGCGTGGAAACAACTAAGGCGAGTCGAGCTACTGGCATACGAGTAGACCATCCGAGTAGCTGTCTACTGTCTAGTCAGCAGCTCGCACTGTGTAAACGAGCCATAACACCAACATCTATTGAAACAATCTGTTTACAAAACATTATATATTATGTGGATAGCAAATTATAGTAAAAACCTTTTTTTTATGATCATTCTCACCCCAATTGACGGAACAATATATTCGCTAAGGCAAGTGTGGCGACAGGAACACCCAGGTACGTGCCAGTCCTACATTGTCTTTGTATGGCTCGGGTGTCGATTACCTTATTACCTTAATTATATCTGAACGTGCTTACAGTCCCGCGGTTCTCCACAATTTAGAATCATCTTTGCAATAACATTTTTTGGGTCTTCGAGCCCATTAAAGATCTCTGTGAAAGAACTTTTATAGTCTAATGCCGGCTTTAGTGACTTTTACCTCGTTGGATATTTTGACGTATTGAGGTTAAGTTACTTGCCGGCAATACGTACGTAGTTGAATCGGTTTTGTTAATAGATATTCGTATACGTACTCTGCTTGATGCGATATTTGTCACTAACTTGTCGATAGTGGCTAGGTTTGGGGTTTTATCGGCGGATAATATTTCAGATCATAAATTGATTTACTGCGATCATAATGTTTCAAAGGAAAGTAAATCACCTAAAATAATAAAACATCGTTCTTTTAAAAATTTTAACCTGATTAATATTGATAATAAAATAATTATTTTAAATAATCTAATTTTTACATTGCTTGCATGCACCAATAAAATAATCACTAATAACAAAACCAAAAGCGCCTTGGTTAACTAACAATATTAAATTATTTATGAAACAAAGAAATGCAGCACTGCAAAAATTTTAAAAATCAAAGCTTCAATCAGACTGGGTAGATTATAAACATTTAAGAAATTTGACTTTATCGTTGATAAGAAAAGAGAAGAATGAATACATCGAATCTTTTGAAGGTAACTTCAAAAAACTGTGGTTAGTTAAAAAGTTTTAATATCTGTTCTACAAAAAATAATGAAATTCCCCAGTCTTTATCAGAACCTAATGATATTAATAGCTTTTTTGCTCCTTTTCTACAAAATAAATCTAACTGTTCGGAAAAAATTAAATTTTATAAAAACAATGCCTTTAAAAATAACTTAACCTTTAACTTTAAATTCGCAGAAATAACAAATATAAACAAAATTTTAAACAACATAAAAAGTAATGCAACCGTAATAGATGATATTTCGCCTTTAATGTTAAAATATTGTAGTCCGTACATAGATAAGGATATAACACATATTATAAACTGTTATATATTATAAACTAAGCTTTTGATACCATTAATCATGCATTGTTGGTAGCTAAACTTCAGTACTATGGCTTTAATAAGGAAGCATGTTTGCTTTTAAAATCATATTTGACAGGAAGGTATCAATCGATTCTATCAAATGACACATTCTCAGACAAAGCGGAGATCCTATCGGGAGTTCCTCAGGGATCAATATTGGGCCCCTTGTTATTTTTAATTCATATACATCTGATATCCTTACGTCTTAAAGTTTTGTAAAGTTCAGGCCTTCGCGGATGAAACCCAGGTTTATTGTTTTTTTTATATTGATGATTACAAATATTACGAAAATTGTATAAATGAGGAGATTAACACCTTGAACAATCTCTCATTGGGTCACAACTTAAAACTTAATCCGGAAAAATCGCATGTAATGATTGTTGGTAACAAATCTAAGACTGAGTTTTTAAAAGCTAATCTCAATATAATGGCTAATAATTCAAAATTGAATTTTGTTGAAAGTACAAAAAATCTCGGTATAGTTTTAGATTCTCAGCTTAGATTTAAAGATCACCTAAAAAATCTTATGCAAAAATCATTTTGTTCTCTAAAAGTTTTGTATAATAACAGACACATACTAAACAGATCACTAAAAAAAATGTGTAAATGTAAATGTAAGATATTTGAAAAAATTAACTATGCCGCTTCATAGTAGTGCATTGTTTCAACGACCATTCTCATACAATGCTGTTAAACAATTTAATTCAATTCCCAACCAGTTCCTTAATCTTTCTCTTTCAAGTTTCAAAATACAATATAAGAAATATTTGCTAAATAGAAATCTGAACAAACTTTTTTAGAATAGAGATTCAAGTTTATAATATAGGTATATAAGTAGAAAAAATATGTCAAGCAAATTTTATAGTAACCAGTAACCAAATTTTATAGTGACCAATATTAATTAATATCTTTTTGAAATTTATTTTAATTTACTCAGTCCATTTAGTGTTAACACGAGATTAGTATTATGATTATTCTGTATTGTTGTTTAAGACGTATTACTATTATTATTTATATTAGGCAATGTATTCTGTATTTTTTTCTAAATTACGCTTGTAAAAAGATTATTTGTTTTATTCAATAAAGTCATTGATTATTATTATTATTACTACGTAATATGTAGGAGTGTATGGGTAAACGCATTTTGGAACTTGGCAGATGCGCGCAATATAAAGAAAATAAGATCATCATGAACTCTGTTTAAACACGGCATAAGGAATCATTACAGTCCCCAGAAAAATCCGTCCAGTCATGAACCTTCAAAAACAGGTGAGTGATGTCTTTTCACAATTGAAAGAGCCTTGATTCAAGACCAAGATTATGATCCAAATGAAGAGTTCACAGGTAACATCTGATAATAGAGGTATACTTTGGTCAAGAAATAACAACTAACGTTACGGTTTTAGAGCTGACGGGTGGAAATACGAAAAAAATAACTCGGTGGAATAAAGCAGACAAAACAAAATGTAAACGAAATATCGAAAAAAAGAAACCTTGGTCAAAAAAAGGACCAAAACCGGCCAAAACTCCACAGTACGTCAACTGCTCAAAATGTCGTCTCAAATGTTTGGGAAAAGTCAGCGGGAATGATAGATTGGAACTGTGCTTGAGTTATTGGAAGCTAGAAGATTTTTGCCGCCGAAATGATTACATTCTCCACAATCTGAAGGCCAACATTCCTCAGAGGCAACGACATCGCAAAGAGAATGCTAAATCAAGTAACGCAAAAGAGTTTTATTTCTTGAAGAACAATGTTCCAACCAGAGTTTGCCAAAAGTTTTTTTTTAAACTCTTTGTATAAGCAATCGACCACTAAATACAGCCTTCGGAAATAAGATGAAACCTCGGGGTTGTATAGTGCAAATGATAAGCGTGGTAGACATATTCCATCAAGCAAGAGGCTATATAGAAATCTTCAAATGTATCCATTACTTGCCCCTCATGTTACTTTTTTCTGATACATGTGGTGGGCAAAATCGTAACCACATGTATCAAGTCCTTGCCATGCTTTACTACTTTATTCATCACTAAGATAGTAATATCACTACCATCGAGCGAAAATTTCTTGAATCTGGATATTCAATGATGGAATGTATAGTGCTATAAAACATGGCTGTTTGCACCTTAAATGACTGGATAAATATTCTCAAAATGGCTCGATACAATAGAGGAAGGAAAACAGAGATCCGTACGCCGTTAAGGAACTAAAATACTCAGACTTTACTGATTTTAAAACAATTTCACAAGCACTAAAAGGCAGACTAGTTAACACGCAGGGCCAAAATGTCAGATGGCTTCAGGTTAAATGCTTCACAATTGAAGGGATTATAAAATATACTAGGACGAGGCAGATCTTCAACGTCTAAGCCAACACCCAGTATTCGGCGATGCTGCCGATTTCAGTTGAAAAATATAATGATCTGAAAAAGTTATGCACCACTGAGATAATTCCTGAAGAATATCATCAGTGGTAATCATCATTACCAGTCTCAAAATCTATTAGGAACAATCATCCTGAGCCCAGTATGGAGAGCGGTAGCAGTTGTGACGAAGACGAAATGTTAGTTTAGTTTTTTGACCACGTAATGTAGTCGTATTTTATAAAAATAAAGATGATTTAGTTGCAAGTATGATTTTAATACTCAGTTACAACACTTTAAGACTCTTAACTGTTTTATCTATTACCACTTAACAGTCTGCAAAAATTATTAAGTTCATCAAGTTTCGATTTTCGATAGTTACGGAAAATTATTTTTCAATCTCACCTACTGTTTGTTTGACTATTTAGCATGATTGCTACAATTACATTATTTTAAAAATCTAAACAATTATATAACCTACCTACAGATATTTACAAAAACAAAATTTGCATCTCTAAGAATTTTCACTGTCCATGAAATATTCCTTTAATTTTCTTTTAAACATCTTTAAATTACAAGTAGACTTTATATATTTATTTAGTTTATTAAATTCCAGTTATGCTTTCTAAAATATTGATTTGATAGTTATATTACTATTCCAATTTTGTAAATGAAAACCTATGTTTCCTCTTGTATAATAATTGTGGTAATGATTATTCAAGTCTATGTAGTGGTGTGGTGGAAAAAGATAATTTTTTTATTTTATATAAAAATAAAAACCAAATATGATTGAAATTTTTTATATTCAACTACTGCAGTTCTTGTAATATATATTTTATTTTGGTGTACTTATTTATATTCAATATTATTCTCATAGCTTTATTTTGTTTACAAGTGCATCCTTTCAAAAATCCTTATTCCTATTTCAATGCATGGCTACAGTACAGAACTGAATTTTACGAGGTCTTTCAAGTTCAACTGACATTTGTACTTGAAAAAGCCCACCGTGGTGGCCGAAACGTTCTAATCTAAGCATATGTGGTTTCATTTAGCGGTAAGATAAACATGGAGGATGATCATAAAGCGGCATTTTGTTTCAGCATTTTTCTTCTAGGGTGAACCTGTTTTTACTGAGGGCTGCTGAATGCGATAAAAAATATGGAAATAGAAATGTTACATAGAATTAGAACAAGCAGAAGTAAGTGATCGAAAGTGTATCTTGATCTTTCTCATATTCTGTATGAAATTGTAACGATTGCAATATGTATATTCTAACTTCCAGTCTTCAATATATAACTGATATAATTTTTTTTTGTATTATATTGATAACGAAATCAATTTACACCCTAAATATATTATTTTGTATTTGATAGTATGTGCCAATGAATAGACAGGGCATCTAAATCTATGCCTATAACGTCAGAGCTACACGGCCGCTCGAATGAATCACTACCTTCTACTGACTTTAGGTGAAATGTATCTTAAAAATTATATAGACTATCAAAATTAGAAACATTTTATCATAGTCGTATCAGAAATAATATACAGTTTTATCGTTGAGATGGACCGATACAGGATTTTCGCCGATACCGGCATATATATATATATATATATATATATATATTGCCTTTAGTTGGGTACTTCGACAAAATTCAAGCAATGAGGACTCTTTATACTTTATTCGTCTCTAGCTTTCAATGGACTTTGTCATCTTCATCAGGAGCTGCAATAACATTGAGAAGAAATATCAACTATTGTGCAAAAATCGTTATAATTAATATAAAATACCCACAGCTGTATATCAGGAACAAATTAAAACGGATTAAAAATATTTAGAACGAAAGTTAAAATTACATCGTGAACCACCTGATGCTGCACAAAATGGTGTGGCACAGGATCATAAGTAGGATGAAACATTTGACAGATGACAGAAGGTTGGTGGTGTCAGTGTCGATGGATGGAGCGAAGATTTTTATAAAGTGTGTGCTATGTTGCCAAATCATTGCTTATTTGACATAATATATTGATAAATCACACCATCTGAAGTGATCATTTTGCACAATAGTTGATATTTCTTCTCAATTTTATTGCAGCTCCTGATGAAGATGGCAAAGTCCATTGAAAGCTAGAGACCAATAAAGTATAAAGAGTATCAGGAAAATATCGATATAGATGAGACTTTTATTTTAGCTGATAATAATAATGAAAATAATATACAGGTCTACTTTTCAGCTGTGCCCTATCAATGGATTCTCTAGAACCCATGCCTATATATTCAAAAGCACATAGTCACTTGGGTGAAACTGTTAATGTTTGTGCATGTCTTTTTTATGAGGAAAGCATTCACCGATAAATATCACACAACAGTGCAAAACATTCATACCTAGATAATCATACTTATTTATACATTTTTACATATCTCGTTATAAGTATATACACAATATACTCCAAATTAGAAGACGGTTTCTTATCTTATTACTAAATTAATAAACTATGCAATTCACAACTAAACATGAACAAAATATGCAAGAAAGTAAGTAGAAAATGCTACAACTGAAAAAGCTCATCTTGCTGTTTCTCGTGGTATTTTAGAGAAGTTCTGACCTTTTTTCCTTGCTGTACAACCACTGCATGGAAATCACTAGATCCATTATTATTCACCATCTGTTTCATCCTGGAAACAGCTGGTTTTCTTCTTTCTGCTTCTAGATCTAGGCCTGAAGCAAACCTGGAATCAACATGGTTACAATTAGTAATGGATATGCCTCAGTGGCGTAGCTACCTTGGGCGGCACCCGGTGCGCAAGATGGTGGTGTCACCCCATCGAAAGTCAAAAGCAATAAATTTTATATGATTTATAAACGTTATGGATCATTTAATATTTATATTTAAAATATTGAACAAATAACAAAACACAATTAAAACCAAGACAGAAAAATATGTTTATTTTCTTCTGCTTCCCGTTGCATAAAGAATATAACATTTGCTACAACCTCCCTATAGTCAAATGCCAGTAGCAGAAGTCATCGTGTGCCACTGCTTTGACGCGGGACCTGTTGATTACAGCGACGGTTGCCGATATTTCACAAAGAAGCGCCGAATTTTCGAAGGCTTCCGCGTAATAGCAGTGGCGTATGATCAGTTTCGCTACTGTCATCAATTTTGGTATTCTACTATAGTTTCTCCTGATAAAACTTTACGTTGTTATTTGGATTTAAAATCCATTACAAACGAGTAAATATCTTAGCACACCAAGGAATAAATGGCGACAATTAATGGCGTAAAATTGTACGTATTCAACCCGTAAGAATACATACTCGTACAATTCACAGATAATAAGAAATAAAGTTTTTTCACTGCCTGACAATTTTTCTCCTGACTGTACGCTAACTGGTCTAGACACGACAAGAGGACTGCTTCGTCCGACGAATTGAGCCGGTAGCTACTGCGCACTGGTGACATTATTCAAAAATTCGCACCTCTTCCTACACTTGAAGAGCTGTACACTGTATGATTGTATCTTTAAAAAAAATGAGTTAAGGCGGCTCCGACGCAGTGACTTTCAAGCCATTTACAAGGGTTCAGCTGCTTCGAAACCACACTCCATGATCATCGCGATTTTTTTGAAAAGAGCCTAGTGGAAAAAATGAAAAAGTGGCTCGATAGCACCCTGTAGGGTTTTGTTTTCAGCACAGTGTAAAAATTCGAAAATCTCAAAAAATGAAGCGTCAGTTTCGAAGCACACAAATGTTGTCTACTGTTTCGTGCTGCCAGCACAAGCGACGCGGCAGTATGTACGGACTAAGAAAGGTCGAATCCAGATAATTTGGTGGCCCTATTTCATATAATATCGTGTATGCGTCACTTTACCACTATGTGTTCATAATCGCGATCGCTGATGCGAAGTAGATGTTCGTACTAGTTACGGAAATGTAACTTCTGAACTTACGCCCCGGTTGTCTTTCTGATTTATCTATATTACATTGGCCAAAAAACAAAACTTAAGATGGTGAATATTGTAGCGTTTTTCTGGTTTTGAGTGTGGATTCCATAAAAAAATGCACTAATTTATTTAACTTGATAAAACTTTGAAGTTGAGTCATTAATTTTCAAATAATGATTGTAGAAGGAAGATAAACCAAAATGTGTAAAAATAAAAAAAAATGTTACCTTGTTTTATAAAGTATCCTCCCGACAAGTATTTCAGCGTGGACCTGTATTTGATCGTGCGGTCTTGGAGCACCGGCATGCCCTTAAGGTCTTAAGTCACCTGATTCACGAGCCCTTTGTACTACATTAACAAAGGCACGAGGGGTTGGTTGCACTCGATTGGGAAACCGATCCGCATAAATCCGTGATGCCGCGTAAATAAGAATCATGTCCACAAGTTCAGCATTTTCGTAAACATGTGCCATTTTTGATTTCGTTTGAGCCACGCAACAGACACCACTATTCACTCACGCATTACCGACTGACACTGACTGTATACAACTGAATAAAATAATTGTAAAAACATCGTTCCAAATTCTTTCGCTTCTTTGTTTCCGATGCGATGAACCGATAAGGCGGATTATATCCGTTGTTGCCAAACACGAGCACATAATATTATTATTGAGACAGGGCGGTACTCAAACTTCCAAAGGGCTATAACTTTGTTACTTTAATTTTACCAGAAAAATGGTAAAGGAAAAAACATTTCTTTTGATCAGATCTACTCACTGTTAAAATAAATGACTCAACTTCGAAGTCACCCTGTATACACCACTATTTATGTCTGACTAATTCTTATGTCGCCATTGCCTGCACTATACTCTACTCTGCTCTGCTACTCTACCGTTCTCCGTATTCTGCTTCAATCTCCCGGCCGCCGAGTTATATAGTCCGCATCGTTAAGTCGAGAAGAATCGGGAGCCACATAGCGGCCTTCCAGAATAGTCGAGGTTACTTCACGTCGATCTGGAAGGCGCGTCGCTGCCATGGTCCTCACAGACGCCGCCAAGCGGTCGTGGTCCCCGTAAAAGCAAAGATCGGCTATGACGCTCTGGCGAATAGGAGACTCTCTCAACAGATTGCGCCAACAGTACTATTTATCGTTACACTGCCCCCTCCCTACAGTCATTCCGTCCCGGAATGATCTTACTGGCGGTGGATGTCGATATCGGCACGACGGCCCTCTCTTGCTGTAGGAGTTCTTGAAGAAGTAACAATCCATACTCTTTCCAGGAGGTAGCCGTCTAGTACTGTGACAACATACCAGAAATCGAATGCCTGTATACCGGAAGACTACCTCAAGCATGCTTCGAATGATTCTCCAGTCCACATGGCAGCTTAGGCATTGCCAGTTTTCTCAGGTCCTCGGCAAGCAAGACTTCTCTAAGTGAACACAAAGCGTTCCAGACATCTTCGTAATTCGGTTTCTGATACGAAGTTTTCTTGGTAACCTGATAGAAGATCTTTTTTTCGGCAAAGAGTGTTGCATCTGGCGTATCCTCAAGGCTCTGTGTTGGGACCACTACTCTATTTAGTTTATACTTTTGATCTTCATACTTGCCTTCAGCACTGTAATATTCAAACGTATGCAGATGACATGCAGCTAACTCTGTCTTTTGATTCTTTGGACATGCATGAAGCATCATATAAATTGAACTTAGATCTAGTTAACATTGAAGAGTACTGCAAAAGACATTGTCTGAGGATCAATGCTTCAAAATGCTCCACCATGCTATTTGGCCCAAAACAGTTAGTACAACGGTTAGATGGCACAATTGTTGCTAGTCTTAACGAAACCCATATTCCTATAGTAGACCATGCGAAGTATTCAGGGATCACCATGGATTCAGATTTGAGGTTTAAGCAACATACATATTACGCATTTATCTCGCTTAACATACATGCGTTTGAAGATATTATACACCAATCGCCATATTCTGAATTTCAAGACTCGCAAAAAACTGGCTGAGACTCTGGTTCTATCGTTAATAAATTATTCAATTGCTGTTTACTTTCCTTGTCTTGATTACGTGACTAGATATCGAGTACAAAAAGTTCAAAATAGCTGCTGTAGGTTCGTTTGTGGTCTGCGAAAGTTTAGCCATGTGTCTAAGAAGATCAATGAGCTTAGATGGTTGACCAGCTTTTCACATATAATTTACTAATTTTAGTACAACGAATAAAAATCAATAGGCTAGATACTTATCTACTAAAAAGGCTGGTACCACGTGGGGATCTCAATTACAGGAATCTCAGACATAACTCTGACTTCAATATACCTAGTTATAGGACAACATTTTCCATCGTATCTTCACCTACAACGCTATCAAGGTGTATAATAGTCTTAATGACAATTACAAAATTATTGTTTTTTTTTTGTTAGAGCGGGCTATGTAGAATAGATGTACAACATATTAAGATTAATCTATTTAAGCCTTAATTATTGTATATATTATTTAGTCGGTTGCTATTAATTGTTATATCTTTCCTTTTGTATGTGTTCCTGCGCTGTGAGGTTAAGTGGTAGAGTAGCCAGCTGGCTAAACTTCGCCTCGCAGTGTGGATGGATTAATAAAGACATTATTATTATTATTATTATTATTATTATTATTATTATCTTTCGGTTGGTACCCTCTTAAGTTATCTGGAGTACTTCTCCGACTTCCGAGTTAGAATGTCGCAGCTCATTATGGGCATTGAAATCACCGAGAAGAACTACGTCTGAAGCGGGCTGATTGATGTTCAGAAAGTCGATCTTGACGGCGAGGTATTGAAGTAGGTTAGCAGCAAATAAATTTGGGGGATGTTTTGAAATTGAAGCGAAGCTACATAATGTCCTTCCGCTCTGATTCCAAAGAAACATCTCTGGAAAAGGAAAGACTGCTGCGGACAAAAGCCACAACTCCCCCGTTCTTTCTCCGATTAGAGTGCACCTCGTAATTTGGGAAGCTAAGATGGTTAATCGGCGCAGACTCCGCCAAGAAAAGCATGGCGGGACGATTGGATTACAAGTACTGATGAACAAACAGCATCAATGTTGCTGTTAAGCCCGCAGATGTTCGTGAAACAAATTTTATCTTCGATGTTGTTCCCTCGAGCCCACCCTCCACTGGGACATTCCGAGAGTGGAGAGAGATTACCTACGGGATTCTTAGTGTTCGAGGGATTCATCATAATTAAATTCTTTGTTTTGGAAGATAACCGACAGCTTAGCTTGGGTGTGGAAACATGCGGGCATTTATAAGACACCCTGTGAAAAGCTAGCTGGAGATACCGCCTCGGTCGACTGGTCATTGGCTACCACCTTCTAAAGTGGCCCGTTGGCGGACTTGTACCGCCACCCGAAAATCGGTTCTGAGGTTCTCCTTAACGCGTGTACAATCGCTTGAACGGGAAGAAGTTGTACTGGATACAACAACTTCCAGAACAAGCATTTGCCACGCCCCCGCTCAGTAGGGGGTGAATAAATCTTGTTCTAATATATTAATCACGTTTTCAATTCATTTCAAGTTATTAATTCAGCCGTAATCCGCTGACGAAGATCTTGAATGGAATCTGGCTTCGTACTAAAAGCTTCACTTTCCAAATGCCTCGAAAGAAAGTAATCTAAATGGTTTAGGTCCGGAGATCTCCTTGGCCACTCGATCGGACCTTGTCTTCCGATCCACTAATTCGGGGGGAAATGGGTGTCCAAAAACTGTCGTATTGAACCCACATAGTGCGACGGTGCACCGTCTTGTTAGAATTGAATGCAATTTTCATTATAATTAACGTCATTTTCTATTATTTCGGTAATTCGTGACTCTATTGTATTTTCTAACAAGTCCAAGTACGTCTCGCCAGTAAAGTTTCCAGGAATATAGAGATACAATTTCCGAAAATACCGGCCAACACATTTATTTTTTCAGGATATTGTGAGTGTACCTCTTGAAACATCTGTGGATTCGAGTCACTCCAATATCGATAATTATGTGTATTTACAGCACCGTGTAAGTAGCACGTACACTCACCCGAGAAACAAATATTAAATAACATATTTGCTTTGTTGATTAAACGGTGGGACATTGATTCGAAATCGTCTTCATCAAGATCATGGACAAGTTTTATCTTGTACGGGAGAAATTTGTCATCTTTCAAAATCCTTTGTACTATTGAGCGTGTAAATCCTGAAGAAGTAGAGAAGTCCATGAGTACTAAGGGTGTTGTTATATGCTAAGTGTCCCAAAAGTGCTATTTCAGTGGTTTTGTTCTCTTCTTGTTTCATAAACTAACCGTGCTTCAATACCAATATAGATGGTTCAAGATTGTTCAGCAAGTGCGTTTATTTTTTTCTGGACAAAAAAACTAAACAATGATCCAAGGAGACAAAAGGAGTTATTAATGGTCTTCATAAATCCGGCAAAAGTATTCGAGAAATTTCTAAACTTCAGAAGGTACCGCAGTCATCTGTAGACTATTAAGAAATGTAAGGCCCAAGGCACAACATCCAATAACCATCGTTCAGGGAGACCCAGAGTTACAACTTCCACTGAAGACTTAGGCATAATAGTGAAAAGTAAACGCAATAGACGCATGACTGCATCCGAAGTAGCAACGGACGTGAATGTGGGCTGTAGTAAACCTGTAAGTGTGACTACAGTTATGAGAAGGTTACTCTAAGTTGGACTTAAGAAAAGCATAGCAGTATCGAAAGCACTCCTCAGGGCTACTAACAAAAAAAAAGAGACTGAATTTGGCCAAACAACATCAAAATTGGATAGTTACTGACTGGAAGAAGGTCTCCTGGAGCAATGAATCGAAATTTGAAGTTTTTGGTTCCAAGAAAGGGGTATTCGTCCGCCGTCGGCCTAACGAGAGGAAATTAGAATCATGCACCGTCGTAGAAAAATTATTTGCGCGCTTACCCATCATTTGCCAGGCTGTAATTAAAAGGGCATATTGATGAGTCAAAAATATAATTATTTTGATTATAAATTGTTTTATGTTGTTAAGAATTAAGAAAATAAATGTTTCATACAGATATTGTGATGTTATCTTTAATAAGTTCCATCAGTTTCCTTGTTTTCTGGGTGTTCAAATATGTTTGAACTGTAGTGTATGTATCATATAGCATCCAAAAACCATAATATCTCATTTTCAAATTTTCCGCGATTACAATATTTCCTCGCCCGTGCTGTAGCAAGTAAAATGAGGGTAAAATACTTGCAATCCTCAAGAACATATGGGGTACAAAACAAATCTGAACCTTTTTTGTTTGACATTGTTTGCTGTATCTCTAAAAATGAAGTGGTGGGGGGATTCAAAAGTTGCATTCTCAGTAGGCCACCCTGTACATTTTCACTGCAAAATCTTCAATGAGTTCACAGCTAAAGAAGGCTGGCTATGTTTTAAATGAATTAAATTAATAGAAGTGTATGTGTGTGAGAAGAGAATGACACTTCAAAAATATTGATTTAATCCAAAAATACTTTTTAGGTGGGCTATGTAGTATACCCTTGTATGTTAAGAGAAAAGGTTTCTCCAATTATACATTATTTTAATCTGAATGCAACACACTTGAATGAAGTTAGGTATACTAAGTGACATATAAATGGTTTTATTTTAATAAAAGTTGGTGAATGTATTTATCTTACTGTAAATAATAAGTGAAAAATTTTTCAGCCTTATCAGTTGGACATTCCGGTTTTTATACTGCTTTTTTTTAATTCACTAACGCTCTAAAAATGAATATTTCAGCCGCAGTAAAGAACCAACGTTGGCGGATTTTGGTTCTTGACATCCTTTACGATCGGTTACGATGCCTAGAGTACGGAGACCTGTACGATTTCGTCAACTTAGTGAGTTTGATAGGGGCCGTATGTTTTCATACCGGCCACACTGGGTCTTCCCTTTAACTCGAGAACACCGACGTAATCGCCTTGAGTGGTGCAGACAACGGTCACTCTGGGATCAGGAATGGAACAGTATTGTCTTTAGTGACGAGTCTCGATTTTGTTTAGGCATGCACGATGGTCGTGCCAGGGTTAGAAGGCGACGTGGTGAAAGGAGGAATCCACAGTTTTTTGTTGAAAGACATGTTCATCACACTGTTGGAGTTATGGTTTGAGGTGCTATAGCTTATGGTTCCAGGTCACCTTTAATCTTCATCAGAGGTAACATGAACGCGCAGCGTTATATCCACGAAGTTCTAGAACCCCATCTTTTACCCTATCTTGACACCCTGGCAGACCCAACTTTCCAACAAGATAATGCCCAACCACATGTTGCAAGAGTCACAATAGACTTCTTTCAACATAATGATGTCACATTGTTACCATGGCCACCAAGATCTCCCGACTTATCCCCAATTGAGCACGCATGGGATATGATGGGTAGGAGATTGCTCAATTTGCAACGTCCTCCTCAGACTCTAGAAGCACTTCGAGAGGAGTTGGTGGTTGCCTGGAATGAGATACCACAGGAGGCCATTGACCACCTGATCAGAAGCATGCCTAGGCACGTTGGAGAATGCGTAGCACATCAGGGTGCATCCACACATTATTAAAGGTCAAAGGGCTTTAAAGCAGTGCAATCATTTTGAAATTTTTATCATTTACTTATTATGCTTCATTAAGTACCTATACAAAATTTTATTAAAAAAGAACCATTTAAACTGGGTGTTCAGATTTATATGTCACTTAGTATATTTATAGTCATCCTATTATCATGTTTTATCTAATTCAACAGCACACACAAAGCATGGGTTAAAACTTATAAAAAACAAAATCAAGGGCTCAAGGATTCATTATTCTAATGCTTTATTTTTATAAGACCACATTTTTTATTGAACGTATTGCTTCAGCTGATAATTCTGTCAAGAGTCAAACACTGACTTTTGAAAAAAAATGTTCTTAGGCTCTAATAATGATAATTTAGATGACCAAATCAACAATAAATGATGACATAAATACAAGCTATATAGGGATATTCTTACTATTGAAGAAATGCAGTAAATTACTTACTCGCTATTTCGTGTTGTTTTTTTTACATCTTCTTTGGTAGTAGCAATAGCGGCATCAATCTTATTCAAAAAATCATCTATACTCTCTTCATCACAGCTTGTGCTAGTTTGTGAAGAATTGCTTGTTGGACTCATCACAGGAGTTTCACTTTCATTACTCGTCTGCCCCTCGGTACTAGGTATTAATAAATACTCTCGAAGAAATAAACTATCTGAAGCCCACAATTTATTAGCTCTACGGATCTGTTCTATCTGTGAACAGGATTTATTTAAGCATTTTGTGTTTAGAGAAGGCATAATAACTTACAGTTACATTGTACTTCAGGGCAATTCCTTGTAATGTATCCATGTTTGTAACATAGTGCTTAAAATAACTTTCATTCCTACGTATGTGTTTGCTTGTGCTACCATACTTTTTTAGAGGCGCGGCTGATTCTCTTATGCTGAGTTTCTCGTAGGATCCTCTATCCATACTTAAATTTTTGGTGAACAATTGTGGGATATTCTAAAGTACCAAAATATGAAATCTTATCAGTTCAATGTTCTTTACCCAGACTTTCACTCTTGTATTATAAAGATAATAATTTGCCAACATAATATAGTTATTCTAGATCACAATCACGTTGCTAGAAGAAACAAATCAGCTGATAAAAATTGGTATTTGATATCAGTTTTATATTTTTGACAAAACAAAAAGTGAAAATAGAGAATAAATTCCATGTGACATCGCTGTTAGTGTCAAGCACCTAATTGTCATAACAACAAATGACGTTAATCACAGGACTGGTAAAAACGGTCCCACATGATATGGCGAATGCCTTACAACGTTGGACACATTGCCATTCGCCACATCGTGTGGTAGAGCGTTGACAGATTGCATGTGTCCAACGTTCGCCACATGGCACGTTCGGGATCTTGTCGGTAAATCTGACCCGCTTCAAAGGACGTTACAACGTTCGAAGCATGGCATGGTTCGTTACGCTCCCACACGGGATGTCATGTGTTTGATGGTTTTAGGTTTAGAACCAGTAGCGGCGAAAAACTATAATCAAATCCAAGCGAATAACCAAAATTTCTCCGTTATGTATCGCGGTTATAGTATGGTTCAAGATGACAGACGGGTTGATGACGTCAGTTACTCGAATCGCTTGAACGCGTTGGTTTTAACCGCGGTTTTGTTGCAAGTTGTTTATTTTAGAGAAGCTCGTATATAACTTCTGATTATTTTTATTATCACTTAATAATCGGTGCTTTTTCGTCTACAACGGTGTATGGAAAGTTTAAAAAAGAAACCTTTCATAATATTAATGGGAGAAATCTTTTTTATCAGCAAAAAATATTTAATGATAGCTTTGTAGCTATGATAACTTTCAATTCTCTAAACTTTTCCGCATGTCAAAGAAAACATTTATTAATTTAGCAGAAATGGTAGTAAAAAGCGATGAAAAAAGATATAAGCAGAACCGCATACAGGTGGACATCATCCAGTGAGTTTATATGGCCATATTTCAATGTTCTTGTGGTATATGGCTACCCAGGATACTTTGTTAAGCATAGGAACTAGATTTAAAGTTTACCCAACAAAAGTAATGATTATAAATAATAAGGTGCTCTACTTTATGCAAAAACTGAAGTCAGCCTGTATCAAGTTTCCCAAAAATGAAGCTGAAGTACAATAAAAATATCCAATACCCATTAACATTCTAACTTGTCACATGTCAAATAATAACCAGAAATATAAAACTACTCCTGAGTTGGGTAAATACCACAATTTTGCGGTGATAACAATGACATATAACAGCTGATTCATGACGTCACGGATCTTATAACCAAACTGATAACCACACTCGCTTGAACGGATCCGTAAACACCAATCCAAAATGGTAAATACCATTTTCATTTGGTTATCCGCTTGAATTTGTTTATTATTTACTTGTTCGCTGTGATTGTGGTGAAGTAGTGGTATGTGGGAAGTATTTTGATTTGAATACCTACCTATTCATAATAATGTATGTTCCGTAACTAACTTTTGAGAAGAATGAATTAAATTAGTATACATATGTACAAAGCATAGGCTGTCATAACAACACTTTTTTCATATTGCTAATATTTTGTATGTTTCGCAGGTGAGTTATGGCTGGCCTAAGGATATGAATTTTAGTAAATTATAAATTTTCAAGTGCTTACAGTTATTTTATTATCATGTCTTGTTGCAATGTAAGACTAGTTGAGAAATATATTGATTTGCATTTCATAACTATCGAGAACGACTAAATAAATGATAACTCTGAAAGTACTACCAGGATCTTGATGAAATGACCCTAGGTTACTACTATGAAAATGACAAAAAAACTCTGCAGTTTTTAAAAATTGGTACAGTGGCGGCGAAGTTATCGAAAAACAAGCAATAAGCGGTCAAACTTCGTTTTTCGACATTTCTTAGGCTTCTGACAGACTTAAGTTTTGGGCGCTGAAGACAGATCTCAAATTATTTTTCGGCGCTCGAAAAAATTGTTTCATTGTTCATTTTGTATAATTTTTCCTTCAAGGTTCAAGCGCGACACTGACACTGATATAGACGTTAGTGCCACCAAGCGTCGAACGTACGAGACTATAAAGTTCATCCCATCGTGTAGGAGATACTTGCCAATTGTGGGGTGTCGAGCGTTGTAAACAAGGTTGGAAGCATCGTGTGGGACCCGCATAAAACAAGAAATAAGAATTAGAGTTGACGTAGGCAACCGTGCATGCAATTTATGATCGATTCAACACTCGTATACGAGGGGAATCACATAAATGTAATAATTTATTTGGGGGACATGTGATAACACTGATAAACACAGGATTTGTGACATGACAATTTTTGGGTCTCTATTATGTATTTTGAGACGCTTGAATCAAATCTAAAAACAGAATTTTTCGAACACCCACAGATATTCAGCGTTTATTATATGCGAGCTTTATAGCTAGGCTATTTGTTTTTCTCCTCATGTCCTTCTCACTCTATACAAGGCCTAGATAAGGCCTAGCCTCGAGTATTGCTCACATGTTTGAGGTGTTGCCGCCCCGACTACATTATTTATGCTCGATACTGCACAGAGGAGGGCTGTCCGATTGATCGATTACTTTTCTCTAACAGACCGCCTCGGGACCCTTTCGCACAGGCGGGCCGTCGATGATCTAGCTCTCTTGTACCGCTACACGAACGAGCTCTCTTCCATGATGCCGCCACGCGATGTGCCTGCCAGACGGACCCGCCTGACTTGTGTGCTATTTTTTATCACAGTGCGAGCCGTGGCCTTAAATGTTTATGAACTTGCTCAACTGTGTGGTCCATTGAGTCACGCAACAATGTTGGCTATTCGGCGTCAGTAATGTCTGTGGAAGTTGGATCGCAATATGGTTTCAAATCCTGAACATGCCATACGCCTTTAGGATTACCCTGCTGGTCTTGAAGTTCATACGACCAAGAGCCACACTTCCGTCTTATTATAAATGGTCCGAGGCATGTTGGTGCTAACTTGGCACTAAAAGAATTAAAGGCGTCAGAAAGGATCTTATTCTTACGCCAGACCTTATCTCCACAAAAAGAAACGGGACGACGACGCAGATTGTACCTGTTAGCATTCCGCGTTCTCGTAGATTTTATTCTGTCTTGAACTTGTTGGTACAATTTCAAGAAATCGGAGAAAAACTGCAGAGTTTTTTGGTGATCGTCAACACCATACTGAATCGCGGAGAAAGAAAGATAAGATATAATACGAGTGAAATTACACAATCAATAAACTATTGAATTTGCAAAAAGAAAATCATTGAAAAGGGGTTTGGCCTAGGAATGGGCACTCTATTATCAATGAGGAGACATTCAAATTACTGATAAGTGATAATATTATTAAAGAGAGCATATTTGTGGGTCCACAAATACGGAGAATTATGAAGGATGATGTATTTGACAGTGCGATAAATGAAACTGAATTACGAGCTTGGAATGCTTTTAAATCAGTTACTGCAAAATTTGTTAGGCAATGTGAAGTCGGACAACTATAAAGATATTGTGAATGAACTAATTAATGCTTATGAAGGAATGGGATGTAACATGTCTCAAAAAATTCACTTTTTGGATTCTCACCTCGATTTTTTTTCCGGAAAATGTAGGTGAATGGTTCCACCAAGACATTTGTGCTATCGAACAACAACATTCTGAGATTTAATGTTTATTCGAATGTTTATACACATACCCTTATACAGGGTGTTTCAGTTTATTGTTGCATAACTTTAAGATTCGATAGAACTTTTAAAATTAATGCATAAAGTCTCTATAAACATGGGTCGAAAAATGCGTGGCTTCCGAAATACAGGGTGAATTTACTTTCTAAAATAGTTTTTTTTAAATATTTTGAACAATATTTGATGTATAACAGTGAAAATTGGTATACAAGGGTTTTTTGGTACGACAAAATGAACCATGGGCATAGTTTTACTGTAGCCGCTAGAGGGCGCTTTCTACTGTACCTGTAGTGTATTAAAATGACCGAAAATTTTTTCTTAGTGCAATTTTTTGCTTTTTGAATAAAAAAACTGATTCTTCGCACTTTTCAACATAAAAAAGCTTTCTTGTGAATCTTCGTTATAGTTAGCCGTTTTTGAGATATTTCGATTTTTAAGGTTCGATGCATTTTTAATTATCTATGATAAAATAACGTTGAAAAGTCAGTATCTCGATAATTTTTAGAAGTAGGCTGTGCCTGCAAATATTTTTAAAATTGAAAGCAGAATAAGGTTAAACGTTGAAACCTGAACCGTTTTTTTGCAATTGTGAATGCACGAAAATTAGTTTCTTTTACTTGTTTTTTTTTGTAAGTTTTATAAAAATGCCATTTTTATTCTCCAATCAAGAGTTAGCGGATATTCATTTTGTGTATGGCTTTGTAAATGGAAACGCAGCAGAAGCAGCCAGAGAATACGCACGAAGATTTCCAAACACACGACATCCAACTCGCTCAGTATTTGTAAGAGTGCATCGCCAAATAATTTAAAATGGTTTTGGAAATCTCCAAAGGGATCAAAACATAAATGTTCGTCAGCGCAGATTTACCCGTATGATTCTGCGTGAGTTTGATAGAGATCCGACTACAAGTGTTAGGAGAGTTTCTGGTGCCTTGGGAATTTCAGCAAGCCATGTTCACCGTGTTCTTAGAAATGACCATAAACGTCCTTACCATTCGCAACCTGTGCAAGGACTACAGCTAGGGGACGGAGAACGAAGAATCACATTTTGTCAGTGGATTTTTGATAGAACTGATAATAATAGGGAGTTTTTAAGTAACGTTTTATGGACGGATGAGTCATGCTTCACTAGACGTGGAGTGGTAAATTTTCATAATCAACATATTTGGTCGCATGAAAATCCGCATGCAGTTCGGGAAAGAAATTTTCAGCATGAATTTAGTGTGAACGTGTAGATTGGTATCTACCGTAATCGACTATTTGGACCCTACCTTTTGCCTGCAAGGTTAAATGCTGCGACCTTCTTGGAATTTTTAAAGGTTGAACATGCAAATATGTGGGATGATGTTATGTTAGATTTAAGAAGATTGGCCCGGTTCCAGCTTGATGGTTGTCCAGCTCATTATTCGAGAATAGTTAGAAACTGGCAGGACGAAAATTATCCAGAAAGATGGATCGGCCGTGGAGGACCAGTCGCCTGGCCTCCACGATCCCCTGACCTAAATCCATTAGATTTCTTTGTGTGGGGATTTCTAAAAGAAAAAGTGTACCAGACTCCCGTAACCACAAGAGATATGCTAATAGACAGAATCAGGAATGCATGTGATGAAATAAGGCCTTATTTGAATAATGCTATACCACGTTCGATCATTCGTAGATGTGAATTGTGTATAGAACAATTGGGTTTACATTTCGAGCAACTACTTTAGATTTTGTATGTTTGTCCTAACTATCCAATAGCATTTTAGTTGTGAATAATTAATTTAATTTGTTAAAAATAATATTGGAAAATTAAACAAATTAATATTCTGTTTTTTTGTGTTTATTTGGAGTTAAGAATTATTGCTGTGTTTAAAAACACAATCTAAACGATCATCTTAGTTACTTATAATGCCCAAATCAAAAATGTAAAAAGAAATATTATTTTCCCATAAATAACTAAAAATGCATCGAATCTTAAAAATCGAAAGATCTCAAAAACGGCTAACTATAACGAAAACTCACAGGAGAGCTTTTTTATGTTGAAAAGTGCGAAGAATCAGTTTTTTTATTCAAAAAGCAAAAAATTGCACTAAGAACATTTTAATACACTACAGGTACAGTAGAGAGCACCCTCTAGCGGCTACAGTAAAACTATGCCCATGGTTCGTTTTGTCGTACCAAAAAACCCTTGTATACCAATTTTCACTGTTATACATCAAATATTGTTCAAAATATTTAAAAAAAACTATTTTAGAAAGTAAATTTAAACACCCGCATACACGCCGAGAAATGCAGCAATATGAGATGTTATTTATTGTAATTCATAAAAGTAGATGTTTCCGAATATCTGTTTCTAGATTTGATTCAAGGGTCTCAAAATACTTAAGGTACACCCAAAAATTGCCATGTCACAAATCCTGAGTTTATCAGTATTATCCGGCGCGAAGGACCATGATGTCTCCACCACTGCGCTGGGTACACCTGTACCTGCTCCTACGCCCCAGAAACAGGTCGATAATGTCCGGCCTCGGGCGCACACTCTGTTTACGCGGTGGCGCGTTCTGCCTGACGGTACACAAACAGACCGAAAGGCGTCTATACCTAGTCGCGGTCGGATCATTGTGCATCTCGTTCGAACCGACATGAGTGTTGCCGTTGATGGTCATTGTCTTGGATGCTGAAAGGAGAATTAGTCGCTGTTATAAATATCTACAGATAGACATGTAAGTAGCTGACTTATCTATTCGTGTGCATCGAGTTATAAATAATGCATGAACGTGATGAGATGAAAGATGCTGGGATGGAGAACACAGTAGCTTGAATCTTCAATCCAACTTTACGTTTATCTGTAGGACAGAAGGTTGGGGGTTTGGTCAACAAAGAGATCAAAAGAAGGCGAAATATACCAATTTGGTATCTCTTACCATAAGATATTGTATGAAGTTCTACATGCATTACGACCGTATTTCTGAATCATAAATAGTTATATTTTTTTTGAAACTATCGTGATTCGGAAATGTTCAGGATGCTGATCTAGTTTATCCTATAGATAGGTATATGTAAAGAACGAGGCTAAACATCTTGGGGTAAAAACACTAACTTAATGTTAACGTTAACTTAAATTTTAAAAGACTATGTATACATGTCGTGACCATATCGTAGAATTGACCACTTCATCAAATGATAGAGCATTTCATGAAATGGTCGCATTTCACGAAATGATCAACTGAATTTGACCATATCGTGAAATCGTCAACGTCTTAACGATTTGGTCATCTACGATTGATCATATCGTAAAATGGGTGTCCATAGAACATTTAATAAGAATCCAGAACATTATTGTTTTTTAAATACGACATCCATTATGATTACAAAAAGTAATTTCAGAAAAATAAAATAATTATATTAAAATATAGTTAAATTGCACAACGTGTCACAAACAACATTTTTGAACATATCATATATTACAAATTAAGTTATTACTTATTACCTCGCGTGATCACCCTGCTCTGGATTATTTGACATATAACCCTCTGAAACATGTTCCGAAATCCACGGCTATTTGACGTTTTGATCGGTAGTTGCGTGATCGGTATACGAGCCCCTTCCCACTTCAGTTGGCCCACTTCAAGATTTGGCAAAAATTTGGTGTAAAACAATCGCATATTTCTTGAAGCTTTTGTCTCAGTTCGGTGATTGTACGAGCAGGATGTTGTCGTAAAACCTTTTTCATCTCGTGCCACAAAGTTTCAATAGGTGACAGATCTGGACTGCCAGAAACCCATTTCAAAAGTGGTACATTGTTTTCTTACATCCATTTTATAGCCTTTTTTGAGGTATGGCACGCTGCAACATCTTGCTGAAACACAAAATCTTGGCCGGATGTCAAGCATTCTTCCATCACTGGTAAAAGCGATTCTTCTAAAATTGCCAAATATTTGTTTGTATCCACATTTCCATCAATAAAATGAAGTTTTCCTACTCCTTTTGATGACATACTGCCCCAGACCATAAAAGATGCTGGAAAATTCACTTTTCTCTTCAGACAGTCAACATGGAATGCTTCATTTTTTTTGCGAATAACTCTTCTGTGACTGTCACCAACACAAACTTCGAATCGGGCCTCCTCACTCCATTGTATTGCACACCATTGTTGAGGTGTCCATTGTCTATGTTCTTTAGCCCATCTAAGCCGATTTTTCTTCTGCAGTGGAGTCAATAGTGGCTTTTCTTTGGCCTATAAACGAGTTGTGCAACTTTAGGGTTTTTAGTTCACTTTTTTTTATAAGAAAACATACCTTGCAAGTGCTAAATCTCAGTTTGTGGGCCTCTCTATGAGTTGTGGACCTCGAAATTCTAATTCCAACAGCGTCATTCCACAGAGCACTTAATTGTAAATAATTGGCACGCCTGTTTTTCACGATTATTCTTCTTAATGCTGCGGTCGGCATTTGTGATATTACTTTTCTTCACATATCATGGCTTAATATTAACTGAGCCAGTTACGTTATATCTTCTAACAATAAGTCTCATACTGTACCGCGATAAGTCTGACAAAGTTGCAATTTCTGAGTTTGATTTCCCAGAATTAAAAAATTTAATTATCAGTAACCGAATTTTCTCACTAATAACCTTTCCTCTACCCATTTTGAAAACCTTAACTACCCAAAACTATTTTAAACGTATTCTGACAGCTGTGATTAATAAAAACAAGTGTCATGGCTTTTATTTTTCACAGCCACCTATGCGTTATACACTTATTTTGCATTGAAATGAAAATAGGTTGATATGCTTTAATTGCAACATGTGTTATTTTTATGCTGCAAATTTGATTAGGGAATGATAAAGTTGGTGTTTTCTACTATATATTATCAAAATATTCATTGTTAATATTTTAAACCTATAACACGCTGCTACATTTTTATTATTTGTGTTTGATAAGAAAAAAACTAAGATTTCAATAGTTGGGCCAACTGAAGTGGGAAGGGGCTCGTAGTACTCGAGAATCTTTTTGTCGTAAAGTCTATTAACCTCACTTTCTTCCTAGTTTCGCTTCGAAACACAACTTTGCTATTAACGATGTGACGAAATGTGAACAAATACCTTCAGCGTCTCTATCGGTAATTACTGTAAATATTTTACGTTGCACGATTTATCATTGATCTGGTCAACATACATCATGATCTGGCTATTAGAAATGATACATTTCATGAAAAGAGACCATTTCATGAAATGCTCAAGCAATGAAATCTTTAGGCCTTAACGTAGCGGAAGAATTATGAGTAAGGAACTTCGGAATGTAGCTAGATTCTTGACCAGCCATTGGTTATTCAGGGCATTTCTACAAAAAATAGTAGCTTGTGTGTAAAGACTGTGGAGAGACAGCAGAAACTGCAAAACATGTTATTCTCGATTGGACTTGTCTAAGTGATAGATGGTCAAATCAAATTAAGAGGAAATATTAAGAACTTGGAATGGAACTAATTCCTATAACTGGAAGTGCATAATGAGAATTGTCTGAGCGACAACTAGGCTACTGAAGCCTCAACGATTAAATAACCCACAACAGCTATTTTGGTACCGGAGAAGATCTGCATCTGAGTGTTTTTATGCGCAGGTTTTCGTACCAGCTCTACCTTTTAAATAAGCTACTTTTGGCCTCCCATAGAATAGAAAAATATGTTTCATAGATTTTACGTTATTACTATCAGCCCTGTTAATAAAAAATGACCAAGGATATGAATATTAATATACACATACAAGAAAACTAGAAGACAAACAAGAAAAGAACACACAATTAAGGCAAACATACATACAGGGAAATAATATTCGTAACTTTAAGAGGTGATTCCTTGCATTATTCTAAGCAAAAAACTTCATTATAACTTATGTCCGAAAATCAATCGTTTTCGAGAAAAGTGAGTCGTAAATAATTAAATTTTCTCAAACATTTGGCAACGCTGTAACGCAACCGCGATACGAGCCCACGACAATGGCAACCGATTCATCGAATGGTTAACGTTTGTATGATTGTTTTCGTTGAAAATATACCTAATTATTGAATACTTTTACGCAATTTTTTGCGGATAATATTTTTTATTTAATAAAGCTTTTAGTACAGTACATTTACTTGAAAAAAAATGACAGAACTTACCGGTACGTGGCTATACACATCACCAATTCCCACGATTATCAGTCACTTATTTGAAACGATGCGAATCACGAAAAAAGAAAAAAAAATCAATATCCGTAAATCACATAAAGTTACAATTAAGTGTATTAGTAATCACAAAACAGCACGCGATGATATATGCAGGGCAGGCGGAGTACGACGTTGTGTGAGGGATTTTGTTTGTCCGTTATTCTTCGGAAAATTGTATTTAATAAACAAGAAAATTAGTTTATTAGAGACATTTAATTAATAAATAGATGTATTGATACATTTTACGCTAATAGGCATATGAATTTAAATTATTAAGGTGCAAAATTGATTTATTTCATGACTAAAAAGAAAGGTTCATTTTTTGCTCCGAAACGGTTGATTTTCGGACATAGGTTATAATGAACTTTTTTGCTTAGAATAACGCAAGGAATCACCTCTTAAAGTTACGAATATTATTTTCCTAACACCCTGTATACACAATACATACGTTATATTGTATACAAATAAATTTGTTAATCATTGCCAAATAATATATTTTTGTACCACTTTCTGGCATGTGGGTCTCCAGAACAATCTCACTGAAGGGTTTCAGTAATAGCTGACCCATCTTCTTTGATAATGGATTTCCATGATTTTAGTATCCTGCTGGAGTCTCTCTCCCCGTTCTTCACTGAAGTCGCCCAATTATTCCGGAAATCGATCTAAGTGAAGGATAGTGAACTTTAGTGTTCATGTTATTATATGTCTTATGATTTCGAAGAAAACTTTGTATTACTGTAACGCAAGTATGCTGAGGATTGCGGATTTTAAAATACTGTCGTATTTAAGGACCACTGAATAATCTTGCTTTCAGTTCGTCTTTGCTTAATCCAGGAAGATTACTGGACAGGGTTCCAAAACATTGTCTATCTTCATAAGCCCCAACTGGATATGCAATGGTGGCAATATGATTTCTTCTCTTACAACTAAAGATTCGTATATTACATTTTGTTTTCCTTGAGTCATGACACTTAGAAAAACCTAATCTTTTTAAACTAGTGCTGATATTTTGTTCTGTTGTCCTAAAGAAATAAAAACAAGGATGCTTTGAATATCCACCTTGCGTACAAGGAGAAAGTTTACAATTTTTTAATCTATACATTCTTAATTTTTTCATGGACTAGTGTTTGATATTCTTCTTTCATACTGGACCTGCATAACCAATGGGCATTGACCCAAAGTTATTATCCATAATTTGATTTTAATTAATATCACAAATTCATTTGTGAACTGAAGCTTTTAAGGATATAGTTATACAGGGTGTTAGGGGAAACAATATTCGTACTTTAAGAGGTGATTCCTTGCTTATTCTAAGCAAAAAAGTTCATTATAACTTATGTCCGAAAATCAATCGTTTTCGAGGAAAGTGAGTCGTAAATAATTAAATTTTCTCAAACATTTGGCAACGCTGCAACGCAACGAGCGCACGACGACCGCAACTGTACATCGAATTGTTTACGTTTGTATGATATTCTTGTTGAAAATATGCTTTGAATCCTTGAATACTTTTACGCATTTTGT